GTCTGACGGGATCTGGCCACTATAATAAAAATATTTAATGTACCCCAGGGAGTCGGACACAATTTGGTCAGGTGCCACGTTAAAAAGGATGTGTTTGTTCTTTTTTTTCTGGTTTTAAGCCCTTTTTTATTTCTTCATCCCATTATCTTTACTATTTTTAATGTTCTGTGATGATTCATGATTTTAATGCCTTGTTTGACTGTCTCCATCTTGTTTTCTTCAGCTGTTTGAGTTGCCTTGTGTATGAATTGTGTTATACAAATAAACTTGCCTTGCCTTACAAACACAAGTGTTTCTAGTGTTATGTATTACGGCCGATTTGAAATCTTTTAAACCTGTGTTTTTCAGCTCACTCATGTATGTGCGATGAGGTCAGTGCAGTTTGACCGGCGGTTGCTAAGCTCAGACAACACACTGCTTCAGTTGTGGTTGGAGCCAACTGGTGGAAAATATAAAAGTGGTGGAAATTGCTCTTTTCACCGAACTTTGATCTTGAAACTATCTCATGTCTCCATCATAAAAGTTTCCGCTCTGTGGTGCAGAAGTGCCTCTCCGAAGTGAGTGGAAATACAAATGTAAGTTTTCACATTCATTTAGCCAAAGGCCTACAGGCTATAGTCTCTGATTTCCAAACAGATAAGACAGACACGTCCAATATGTGGAACATGTATTTCTTCTTCAGATGATACGACCACTCAAACTATGGAGCTGATTGCCCACTTCAAAGCATGTTCTTGTTTCAAAATAAAACATAAAAATGTACTTCAGACCACAGAACAACAATATTAAAATATATTTCAAAACTGAATATCACAATCTTTTGTTGACATCACACACGAGCACGAAAAGATGCGAGACGGCGGGATTTTCATGAGGGGAGCAATTCATGTTCCCAAGTCTTTGGGGTTTATTGGGTATGTTGTATTGATTTTGACTCAGCTGTAAAGCACTTTGTGTTGCATTTTATTGTATGAAAAGCGCTTTATAAATAAAGTTTGATTGATTGATTGATGTAAACCCTAACCCAAAAGTCAGCCCAACTTTTCCATGTGTAACTCTTCCTTGGCTTCCATGTTTGAATGGACATGTTGTTAGGTGCAGTGGTTCCTTTTCTCCCAGTTAGTTCTGCTGTGTTAGCAGCAATATTATTGTTGGCCTGGATGTGTAGAATATTAGCACTATAGCCCTGCATATGAACATGCACAAGGTACAGTACAAGTCAAAGTAATGAGTCATTAAGCTTAAGATTGTGTGTAAACCTCAGTAAGTTTTGAGATATGAATAAAACAGACCAGGAGACACAAATAAACTGGATTGGATGAAATGCTAAGTTTCAAACTTGTTGACTTCATGCTCAAGCACAACTGCCCCAAATGACAACTTTTGAGACAGTTCTATTTATTGGACTGGATCTTCTTAAGGCTCAAACCGTCAGCTGTCTGCGCCGGCGCACCAGAGATCGGCTCTGTCGCCTGTTCTCACAGATGCCAGGTTGATCTACACAGAGCCACATGAGGCCAAACCACATGCTCCGATGGCCCCGGCCTCCAATAAGGTCTTGTTAATGTTAAATTGGATGACTGTGTGTCCAATTCTGTGTTTCCTCAGAGGTGTCTCGGGTGCAACAGCTGCTACCACAGCAAAGCTGCCCCTTCTGCTGTGATGGCGGCTCCAAAATAAACCATACACATGCAAATGAAGAGCTATTGCAAGAGGGCGCAGGATGTAAAGAGGGGTCTGACTGGGGCAGCACACCAGCGAGATGAGACACATATAACCTGGACCAGAGATGAAGAAGGAGAACGCACTTACACACAAATACACTTTGGTAAGACACACAAGCCTCTGCAACACAAACAGTTGTGCTGGCTTATAAAGCACTTGAACAAAACATGAGACAGTTTTCATAATATCTTAAATTTGCCTTTTTTCTGCCAGAGGCCAGGGGTTTTCTGTGTTGATTATGCACATGGTCTTTAAGGACATTTCTTCATAACTCTTCACACTCACTGTACAGTATCTGTCTTCATCGGAGGAGCAGCCACCTGCTCTTCCTCTGCCCCCTCCTCCAGGGCCCCTCCCTGCGCTTTGTGAACTTAATAAAAGCTGCCATTAAGCAGCGCTTCATCTGTTTGGGCCTAATCTGCCTTATAGGCATCATGTGACCACATATGCAGAGCACACCTGTCGCACTCTCCCAGCCTGCTCCTGGCACATCAGCCCCTCAGGCGCGTGTGTGTAGTGTGTGTATACACACACACACCCTGCATGTTTCATGAACTACGCACCTGTCACAAACACTCAAGGAAGCTCATGTTAGTTCAGTATGTTTTTATTTCACTGAGGGAAAAGCTCAATCTCTGCATAAAACATGCACAGAGAAAATATAAATACAGCACAATGAAGATGGAAAGCATTGTTTCTAGGGAAATGAATATGAAACACTAGAGAGAGCAGTGACGAGCGAAACAAATTCAAGTCTTGCAAAATGCTTCTTTTTCAACTTCTCATAGAAAACGTCACATGTATCTCACTGAATTGAATGCTAACGGAAGATGGCTTTCAGTCCAAAAGTGCAACATATTTAACAAATCTAAAATAGCTGCTACAGTGAGCAGGCGCCTTTCAGATTCTCCAGCTCTGAAAATACATCTCCCTTCTTCTGTAAACCATCTCTTACTGAATCATCTCTCCTGTAAAGGGATCTGTCGTTTCAACAGAAGCTGAAGCTAGATTTGGAGGTCATTTCCGTCTGGTTTTAGTGTAATATAATTTTCTGTTTATTCATTTTTTTTCTGATAGATTATATACAGGAGCCAGCTGGCTGACAGATGGTGATGGCTTTACCCATGTCTGTCTTTTTATTAGAAAAAGCCTCAGAAGGAGCAGGAAGGACAGGAACAGCTGTAGACAGGGACAGAACAAGTGACGCCCGGCCACTGGACGAGAGAGAACCGAGCGAGGCAGAGGAGAGAGAGCAGAGAAGCTGAGTCCACACGGAGCTGCCACACTGGGCTTCCCTGCACAGATGCAGGTCTGCTGAGCTTTAGCTCCAGCTGGATTAATGGCAGAACAAAGCAGAGGGAGAAGCACAAGGTCATGAAATATGAATCGGAGCTGGGACAGAGCCAAGAGGAACCTCTTTTAGAGCCTTGCATGTCTGCCCACGGGCTTCAAGCGCTGTACATTGTGTATCAAAATCATAATCAGAGTTTCTTTCGTGGCACCTTTAGTGCTGCACACCCAAAGAGAAAGAAAATTCAAGTGCACAGGAGTTTGACAAGAGGTCTGTAAAAAAATATTGTTTGGGCAAGATATGAATTCCGCTTGATCATGGTCACTCAAAGGGCTGGGCCAACCAAAAATAAATTCACACACACAAGCAAACTAAAGGGAGGCTATTTGAATTTTTTAACTTTTTATTATTTCATTTCTCCTTTTACGACTTTTCTTTTTAAAGGAAGCTGTTCATCAAAGAGCATTTTGTTCATATATAGTTATTTTTTACAGAGGAAAATACTGTACAACCTTTTTTTTTCCCAAAACAATGTTTGGTGGAATATCATTGACACACATTTTTCCCTAATATGATTTATTTTCCAATGCCAAGCTCTGGAAATCTTCCCTTTGCATGTGTCCACTCTTCAATACATAATAATAATAATTTAGAACTACAGTAAGTCAGCTTTTTCACAATCCTCTTCAAATACAGTCCATATTAGTGTTTCTAACCAAGCCACACCCATGTCAGGAGCAGCCCACTTTTGTCCAATCAAAGAAAAGAAAAACATAAAAAACAGTTTTAAATAAGTCACATAACAAGAGTTCTTGTCACTCTAACATCTATTTGTGCATCAAAGCAAAGTGAACTAAAATAACATTAAAGCAAATTCCCTGTTAAAAGATATAGTTTTTTCTGACGGTAAAAATGAACCTAAAAAGTGCAATAACTCCCCTAAAATGTCTCATTGGAAGGTCACATAAATATTAAATTAACAGCATTACATTAACAGGAGTTAAACCACAGCCAAAGTGAAAAAGGAAAAACAAATCTAACAATGCCTTTTGGACATTTTTGAGTCTGTACATTTTCAACAACAAAAAAAACAACTACTTTCTCGGCTCTGAAAAATCCCACTGCATCCAAAGTCTCTGCACTTCCTGTGGGCAGTCACCTTTGCTTCAAATACAGCTTCATTTCAATTGATATGCATCCAGCTATAATGCAACAAAATGTAATGCAGCGATGCCAAAGGTAACAAAAATATTCTGAGCATGAGTTGTAATGGCCAGCTCAGCGAATAGAAAAGTGAACTCTCCACACACAGACTCCTCTTAGGGGCCCGAGAGTGGGGCCCGAGAGCGGAGGGCACATTGCAGGGACTGAGCTTTGTTTTGGTGCTAGTGGGACGGAGCTAGCAGAATGTCACGAGAACTGTAGACTGACCGAAGAGCTACTGGTCAAATCCAGATGGAGAAAGTATAACATCAGAGAAAATTAGCTTTACTCTCTTTCTCACAATGTCTAATAATGTTAATATTATTATTAATAATAATAATACAGAAAAAGATCAAAACCATGAGGGCATTCCCCTTAGTGATCCGCTCGCCTTTGCTTATAGAATATCCACAGCACTTTTCTCCTTCCTTCACACACGCACACTTACATATATAGTTATATAGAGAGATTTGTTTTTGTTTTTCTAGTTTTTTTCACACGTAGTAAAGTGAAAAAATAAAAATAAATTAAAGTCAAACATGCACCCACACAAAAAACTGATGTGTAGTAAAATGTTTTACATTGCTTCCCCCTTATTTGTAAAAGTGGGGCCTATTACTGTCTCTGTTCATATTTTTTCTTAATGCATAATTGAATTAATAATGTTGGTCATCTTGTAAACATCATCATTAATCAGTGTGGGCCATCACTAGTATTTGTTGAAGTCTGAACAGGATGTGTGAGGCCTCTTCTGTTTGTTCTCAGAGTCACTTCCCAGAGTTCAGGGCTCCTGTTCCACAGGGAAGTTTTCCAGTGGGGAAGAGTGGTTCACAGAAGCATCCAGCTCCTCTGCAGCGTCCTTCTGTCTGTCCCCCTCCACCATGGAGTCCTCATCAGAGTTCATGTCCTCCTCCTCAGGGGACAGATCATCCTCTGCCTCGCCGGACGTCCCGGTAGTATCGTCCGGCGCAGAGCCTGCTCTCAGCGCTGTGGAGCTGTGGTTGGACAGCCCTGTGTCTTGTAGCATCTTTTTACTGAGGTCCAGAGAGTCATTGAGGCCCAGCCCAGCAGCGTTCTTCAGGAAGAACATGGAACTGCTGGTGTCTGTCAGGTTCAGGGAGCTGTCCAGGGATGTGTCTATGCCCATGGAGGACGGAGGATACGGGTGACTGTACTCTGACCCCAGGGCTCCCCCTGGGTACATCATGGAGGGGCTGCTGTTCATGTGGGACATAGCCATAGACACAGGGGTGACGGCTGACACTGCTCCGCTCAGATGGAGCCCTTCCTGTTTGGGTGAGACTGAGGGCAGCTCCCCTCGCTCTTGTTTCTCATGCTTCCTCTTGTGGGAGTCCATCTGGGACATGCCCACCACAGTGTGCTTGCACTCAGGGAAGGTGCAGTGGAAGTGCGAACACTTGAGCTTGTACTTGCAGTCGAGGACCGCACAGTCCACACTAGAGCTGAACTGGCAGAAGCCGGCGGCACTGATCACGTCCTGTTTTCCGTGGTGTTTGCGGTGGGCCGTCACCTTGGTGCTGTCGGTGCAGCGGAAGCCACAGCGCAGGCAGTGGAAGTGGGTGCTGTTTCCTGAAAACTGGCAGTCAGGGAAGTTACAGATAAGCGACGACTTAAAGCGTTTGAAGTCGTCCAGAACCAAGTTGTCAACACGGTCATGGTGCTGGGCGTGCTTGTACATGTGTGTGCGACCACAAAACTTGTACCCGCAGTTCTCCCTGGTGCAGTGATAGTGGGTCACCTTCAGAGAGAACTGACAGTTGATATCTTTACAGTTTTCATAGAGGTCGTAGCGACGAAATCCCTCCAGCATCATGCCTTCGTCCAGCATCTTGCGGGATGAGGCGGTCTTGCGACGCTTGCCAAAAGGGGACATGTCCTCGATGATCCAGAAGCGCTTCTTGGCCCCAGTGGCAGTGGGAATGGAGATGGTATTGCCTGGAGAAGAAGCACATGAAACAATGAGTGGAATCAAAGCAACGCCACAGTCAACATATCACAGTGGCCACAGCCTCCCGCTGTAGCTCTAAAGTAACTTCCCCACAGCTGAGTAAGCACCGGGAGGAGCCACACTTTTAGAATTCCTAATTCCCAGAATGATTAAAAGCCAACAAGTGATAGATTGACTTTGAAACATGACACTTTTACAGGCCTCCAACACAGGGAGAGCTGTGGGTCTTAACCAACCCTCTTATCTTTATGTTGTTTTATGGGGGCACCCACCTTTTGCAACACCCTAGGGTCACTGCTAATGATGTGCTCCATGTTTCGTGAGACAGGAAGCAGTGGGCCTCGATAAAACTTGCGGCATGATTAAAATAAGAGACTGCTGATGCAGCTCAGTTAATGGAAGCTAACCAGGCCCGTGCTTGGTACGGCAGGACATCTTTATCTGTAATATAGCGGCTATTGCTTGAGTGGATTCACCCAGCAAAAAGTCAGTGAGTTCATGAGATATGTTTGTTTTGTGCATGCATTTTCCTCATGTTTCCTTTGGGCATGCTTCACAAACACAAGTGCATAGAGGCCTGGCCTGAGTGACAGCTGCAGTGTTGGTTTGCGCCGGGGTAAGTACCTGCAGCATCCTGTACTATAGGGACGTCATTTTTAACCGGAGACGGAGTGGCAATGATGGGGCTGTAAGCTGGTGTGTTGGTTGGCATGACAACACTCCGAGTGGCTCCCAGAGAGGCGCTGAGCAGAGAGTATGACAGACAGGGTGGAGACAGGAGGTATGGGAGTGAGGAAAGGGGCGGGCGCAGCAGGGCAGGGGGGAGGGCCGTAGCCTGCAGCCCCTGCTGAGGAGGGGCCAGGGCAGGCGGGGCTGGCGGAGGAGGAGGAGAAGCTACGGTTTGGGTGGTATCAGCAGGGGTGGTGGGGGCAGAAGGTGTGGAGGGGAAGCCTTGTCCTGGAGAGACAGGGTGACCAAAAGGGGTGGTGGGACACACAGACAGAGGGGAAACACACACACACACTAATCCACAAACACAAGCACAGACACAAGGATGGGAGGAATAGAAAAGGGAAGATAAAAGAGAAGAGATGATACAAAATGAGCCCCATTCAAGTTACCCAACACCAGCCAAAACAACATGATGAGAATAAGTGGTAAGTAGATCATACAGTTGTGCTTGAAAGTTCGTACACCCAGGCAGAGATGTAGATTTGGCCATATTTGAGAGATTATGAAAGATAACAGTAAAAAAAATATCCCTCACTCATTGTTAGTCAATGTGTTTTCTATTTTCAAATTATGATGAAACAACACAAAATATCCTGATAACAATGTATGGCTCCTTTAATTCTATGGCAAAGTCCTCAATTCCTGCTTATTTAAAGTCTCAAGTGGTTCAATTATCATAAAAAACAGAAAACATCTCAGAAAACAACCACTAACGCCTATTTCATCATTGATTATCTCCAAAATATGGACAAAACATGACATCTCTGGCTGGTTGTGGACATTTTCAAGCACAACTGTACTGGCATATGAAATGTGAAGTCTACAAGATTGAAAACAAAGCATTTTCAAAAAGTGCAAGATAATTATCATGATGGAAAACATTTTTTGTGATCTATGTATTTAGCCTCAGGTCAGAAAAACTGCTCAAGTAAACAAAATGCCACGGGGATGTTTTCCGGCAGTGGACAATGTAATTATCTGTAGAGGCCTCAAGTGCAAAAAATATGCTTTATGAGACCGTCCTATAAAACAGCAGTCTTAATATTTTGGCTGATGTATCATTATGCTCTTGATTCAAGTAGAGGTAAATCAAAAAAGATGATTGAAGAATGTATGAAATGGCAATCTTAACCATGTGGTTGTTGCAGTGGTGGGCTTACCTGCAGGGGAGGCGTCATTGCCCACGGGTGTGCTGGTGCAGCTCCGGTCCTGGTTGGAGGATTCGGAAGACAGACCCAGAGGACTGCCCCCGGTGTAGTCCACATAGTCCTCGGTTTCATCCATGGAGGTGTTGGAGAAGCTTGCGGAGAGGCTGGTCTGACTGGGGATCGGACCGGACACCAGGCTGGAGGGGTGCTGCATGTCCTCTGCCCTGTGGCCCAATGGCAGCATCTAAAAACAACAAGAACATATACAAATTAAAGCTGGTGTACCCAACTTTTTCCTACACTAGTTGATTTTGTTTTTATGTATTTGTTTCTATCCTATGGGTTCATTTTTTAGTCATGGATTAAAGGACTTGTGCAACATATTTGCAACATTTGTGTCAAAACACTTACCCCATCGCATGTTATGAAATACTGACAGTACTTACGTTCGTATACTTACTTTACTTTACTCAGACATTACAAAAGACAATAGTTTAACGTTATCTTCAAATGACACTTGAGGTCAAAATTTTGTAATCCTTGATACAAAATCCATCAGAATAAATGTCACTATCCAGGTGTGCCATTCTAATAAAATCTTAATAATAACCAGATTCGGCAATAAATCAGCCTTTTCACGTGCAGGGAAAATTACTGACTGTTCAACAAACAAGTCCCAAAAAAGAACAAGTTCGTAGAAACAGGTGTTGGTTTGTTGGCATAAAACCAAATATTTGCACACAACAGTATTTAGCAAGAAAGCACAAACGTCATTCTTCTGTCATTATAGGTCAACTTTGAAAAGAAACGCAACAATGAGAACAAGTAAATCCACATGTTTTGATCTATCTAGTTTCGCCCACAAAATACAGTACACCCGACAATGAAATATGTCTCAAGAATTCCATTCCTGGAAGACTAATGAATGGTATGACAAGATAATGCCGTCTATCCGCTTTTTCTTTAACGAAGCAAAACTCATACAATGATTAAACCTAGATGTTCAGGAAGCAAAACGTATACAATGATTGAAGCTAGATATTACATAAAATGGCAGGTTTTATATAATATTTAGCATGTTTTGTGTGATATTTTAGCATGTTTTAGCTTCCAATTGCGTATCTGTGAAGTTCAAGTTGATACCATTAACCTAGATAGGGGATAAACATGATGTGAAGTGGCTGACAAAAGCAGAGGGCGTGTGAGGTACTTGGCTTTGTTTCCAGATGTTTCCATGAACAATTCAACACCTGTTTTGGTCCCCTGAGGTGCGCAGCCCATATTTGGAGGTAATAACCCTTTTTTTTGTGTGAGATTGGCATATGACAATAGAAGCTGTTATACCTGGGATGGGACGCGGTCAAAGTTTTTCCCCAGCATCCTCCTCATGTGTTTGCGTGCGTGTGAGGTCATCTGGTGCTTGAGCAGGAAGGAGAACTGGCAACCCTCGCGGATGCAGTGGAAGTGACTGTTCACCTGGTTGTACTTGCAGCCTAAAAGAAAAGATAAAGACATAGTTTAGTTCAGGCATGACGTAAAAAGTGCACGTTGGCTTGTTGGGTTACTATGAATTGGACGCTTTTTGCTAATTGTTATTTGGAATTCAAAATAGATCATTAAAGACAAGATTATAACACAATTTGAACCAGACGGAGCTGAAGTGATGCTAGAAAAAAATCCCTTTACAGATGGCAGGGTATATGAATCTGGGTTGATACATAAATATATACAATTGCAGATGTATTATTTTGTCATTTTGTGCTATTTCTTTCACAGTGTCATCCAGCCAACTTCAGCTCCACTAAAATATATGCTATACATACGTTATAAAGCTCAGAACCACTGCTCGTTAACTTTACTTGTACGTACATATGGATCTATCACACCACATTTTAAATAATAATAATAATAATAATAATACATCATACAGTACTTAAACAGTGCTTTTTTGGACTCTCAAAGACGCTTGAGTCCTGAAATACAACCGTTATTTCGTCAATAAAAGCTTATTTAATGTCTTTTTATTGTTGGATTTATCGCAATATTGTATCAGTTGTGATTCATTTAACATAATGTGGCCCTAGTTTATTTTTGAGATATTAAGCTATGCATATTTTATTCCAGCTCATGGGCCTGGTATGACTATCAACCCAATCATTCCAATGTTCTCCTCTCTACCACCTTCCCTTTACAATTGTACAGTTCATCATTCATATATATTCTGCATTTGTTTGTGCGACACGTCATCTCATATGTGAGTGGTTATTAAAATGAATCTCAAGTGAAATATTTGTAGTTTCTATGAGTTCCAAGTGTTTGTGTACATGTAGGAGGAATATTGGATCACCGTGGTGTCACACTGCGAAAGTCAAGCCTTTCCTGCACTAAACCTGTGGAGCTCTTTTATTACACTGACATGCGTTATTCAATTAGAAATTTACATAAATAAATTCTCATTTTCGGCGGGCCAATAATGCACTCACGCCCCTGCAAACCAAAGTAAATATACAATTATTACCATATTAAATTCATTTTTCAAAGTTTCTCCATTGTCATTTTCGCCTTTTGTTCTCCTCATGCCTGCGTATTATTCTGCTATCCGTTTTCCTCTTGTTTTAAGCGTTGTAACTCTAATTGCTTTATGATTTCAAATTAAATGAATGTTCCGTTTTGTGCCTGTTAATCAAATACCATTATATAAAAGCAGGCAGAAATAATTGAAAGAGTAACATGCTGGGCAGGTGGTAGCATGTCAGTAACCATAGCTCCGGCTTTAGTAGCACAAACATCCCTGTGTCATCAAACACGGCAAGTTGAGCAAATAATGTTAACCCCCGTGACACGCAAGGCCCTTTTGTTGCGACCCAATCCAGGTAGCATCATCGCCCGTGTTCAATTTAGTGCCGCTGCCATGGATACTGGCAAGGCATCAATTCTTTATGACTGTAGTGCTAGCAATCCTAATCCTCTTAAACAATACGCCTGGCAGATCAGACTGAGGACAAAAAACAGCTGTTTCGGGCCCGCTTTTTTGTTTGCTTTGTTTCTGGGCTCTGAAAAGCTTGTGTAACCGCCTGAAAAAAGAATAGAATGGAAAAAAAATACACATCACTTTTAATTCATTTGGATGGCAGCGGTGGCGGAGAGAGGCGCAGCTCCGCAACACAAACAGGCTAAACCAGACAAGCCGGATAATTAACAAACACAAAGCTAATTGCTCATTTCTGACAGGGGCAAAAAGGAAGAAGAAAACAACCTGGATGTGATTGCCCCCGTTGACGTTTCTGCTCATATACAGAGAGAGAGGAAGACTACCTTAGGGACTTGAGGAAGGGGGGGTGTGCCATTGTGTGTATGCAAAAGCAGCAGCAATACCTATGCTTACTGTTTGCCAACATACAAGCTGCACCCATTCACTGTAAACAAACAACATATCCTCTAACCACAGGCATTAAAAATCAATTGTTGCCCTAAGTACATAATTTCATACTTTAATCCATGCTTGCAAGGCTTTTCAAACGGCTGATGTTGTAAGAAAACTGGTCAGTTGAAAGACCAAGCACCGTGTGGAAGGCTGGAAGTTGAATCCGATCCGGAAGTTATAAAGTCTTGGCTCCTAGACGCCTGGCTCCCTCCCATTGACTCACATTCAAAAAAATGTAATGATATACACAAGTCAATATTAGCTCTCCAGTTAGAATTCTGGCGTTACTGTGTTTATTTGAACGATGAGGCTTGGATAATAGTTTCCTGGTTATTGCTGATTTTAATAACCGTAATCATATATGGTTTCAAATGTTCTGCCATATCACCTTACCAAAATAATGACTAAAGTCCACTTATTGTTATTAATATAAATCTCTCTTTTTGGTGAATGTGTCCTGTGAGTTAGTGGTAGATGTTTTGTGAGTGTTCTTACCGAGGCGGCCACACTCCTCTCTCTTGGTAAAGTACTTGAATCCATTGGCCGCGCGGCGCTCTGCTTTCTCATGCTTCTTAACGTGCCATGGCAGCTTGGTGGTGATGTTGGTGACGAAGAAGCAGCCTGGCCGCAGACAGTGATAGTGGCCTCTCATTCTGAACTCACAGTGCTGTGGACCAGACGTATCATTTCAATTTCCTGAGTCAGGCGTTAGAGTGTGTGAGCCACGGACGCTGATTAACTGCATTTGATGTCTGTGTTCAAAGTTTCACCAAAAAAACACACACCTCACATTCCTTCTTTGCTCTTTCTCACATCAGAGACGCTTCCTCTGACACTGCACAACCCCATCTGTCTGTCCCCCCCCCCACACCAAATCAGATCTGTGCGCCACGCTGCCTCTGAGGAGGGGGCCTTTTGTGAAGGGCTGATTTTCGACACATTAATGAATTCATTTAAACGCTTCTCCAAATACAAGCTCATGAGAGCAGGCGCAGGCTGCCATTTAGGTTTCATTTACGCTGCATTCCCCTGATTTTTGCCCTATTCGAGACAGCCTTGTTTACTGTGCCACTGACAATGATTTATTGGGTAATATCAGCTAAATTGGCCTTTTCTGAGAGGAGAATGCGGCAGTCAAAATGACATCATTGACATATAAACAGGCATTACTGGGGTGAGTCGACTGTCTTTTCAGCGGAGATGGAAGACAGGGAGTAGTGCATGTGAAAGCCTTGAGTCAAATAAGCTCAAATGCTGCTCTAATAGATAGCATACTTCACAGTGAGAATGTGTGGGGCTGACAGAAAGTGATTCTGCTGCGTGTGGGGACTCACCTGGTTGGGGCACAGACACTGCAGTGAGTAGTAGGCGAACTGGTCCCTCACATTCAATAGGTTGTTGTTGGGGTTGATGTGGTCCAAGCAGTGGGACTCTGCCTTTCCCGAGGTCTTACAGACGTACTTGCAGTTACCAAACAAGCAGTGGAAGTGAAACTTGTTTGAGTATTTACAGTCAGTTGCCAAACAGGGGTCACTAGAAAAAATTAACGACAGTAAGAATCAAAAAACAAATTTATGAAGTAAAAAAAGCTCTATTGAAGTACAACTGTACAGTATGTACAGTAACACCAATGATTTTCATACTTTTCTTGAAACTGAAGGAAGCCAGGTTTGACTTGTGGCTTGGCGTTCTCTAGTGAGGTGGTGGGCAAGGGGGAGCTGGCCGGTAGAGTGGGCATTGAGGCGGACATTTGAGGGATGGTGCCAGTCAGCTGTTTCCATGCCAACATGGAGGGAGGGGGCGAGCTGTAGCCCCCGGAGGAGCTAAGGTGGGACATGTCCACTGGGGGGTTGTTAGCCATGGACACTGGGGCAGCAGGCTCTCCAGACTCCTGCTCACTGTACGAGCCCTCAGACTTCACTTTTAAAGTGGCCCGCAGGTGAAAGCTGCAGAGCAAAACAGGATCTCATTCTCACATAACTCAATAAATCTTCACTCTCAAATATAGATGTTTTTTTCCTGAGCATCACTTGAGGTGACACTCACTTGGCGTGCTTTATAGCCCCATCCACAGTGCTGAAGAGGGCCCCGCAGTCCTCCACCAGGCAGTGGAAGTGCACCTTTTGAAGGAAGTCACAATGCGCTTCACAGAAGTCATCAGTGTCAAATCTGGACAAAGGACAAATCATGTCAGTGAGATGTACAGATCTAAACAACATCTTAAACTCTGACAGGTCACCGGTGTGTTGTACCTGCGCAGGTATGTCCTCCAGATCTCATTGGGCTTTTCGGGCAGCGACCTTTTGAGCACCTGGTTCAGATAGTGCCCAGCCTCTGAGTGGTCTCCCCCGTGGTTTGCATCCATCTCAGATTTGATATGCATGGCATTAAAGAGGGCAGGGTTCACATGCGTCATCTGAAACACATTCGAGATACAGTTCAGCACTTGTTTGTCTGTGGTTAAATTTGTCCAAATGTGTGTGGGCTCAGAGACAAGAGATTTGGAGAGAGAAGAAAGCAGAGGCAGATTTACAAACACTAGACAGGAGCTTGAGTGCAGGCCAGGTCCCATTGCCAAGTGTCCTGTGGGACGGTCTTTTATGTGGCCTAAGCTGACAACGAGCTTTTGGACTAAAGTCTTCACGCACATCCTGTCTTTGAGCGAACTATTTTGTCCCAGAGAGGTGACGTGCAACAATGAAGATTAGCTATTGTGTGTAATAATTTACAATAATTTAGTTATATGTTTGTCTCATTCCTATCATTGATATAATACACATAGTAAATCCTTTATTCAAGTGAAAAACAGTTTATTTGTTTGGTCTAATTTTGTTTCTGTCAGAAATATAACTGTGATGCATTCACAGTAGCAGCTCTTTTCCTCAGTCTATGTGCTGTAAACACCGGTGTCATTTGTAGGTGTCAGACAGGATGTATGATTAAAACAGCGTCCATTTTAATCTTCACGAAAGAAAAACACATTTAAATCTCCATACGCCACACTTAGGTTACGTGAAAAATGATGGTCCTGTCTGCCAGTTTTTTTCTCTCCAGACTTTTTAATCAAATAATTTACAAAGTCTATAAATAAATGTAGCATTAGGCTGCAGAAAAGAAGCATAAAGGAGGAGGAAAAATGGACGTCGAGTTCAAAACAGCTCATCAAAAAACAAACATCTCAATATATCTGGCATGGCACCCAGCTACTGCTTCATTATATTAATTTGTGAGAGGTGCAGCGAAAATTACGCCATATGAAAAATGGCTGGAAAATTTAAATGATACAAACTCATCTTATTAGCGGTGAAACATTCAAAAACAAACAGGCCCCTCCGTGCGCCACTAATTTGTCTTGGGATGAAAGGCGTTTGATGGATGGATCTTACCTTATTCATAAGCGAGGATAAAAGAGATGTATTCCCCGGTACGGCGTGTCCGTTTGATTCATTACTGGAACAAGTCAAATGAACAATGTTTAGTCAAGATTTGCATGAGAACTGTAAATATTACTATTTATCACACAATGTGTGCTGTATAATGAAGAAGAAAAATGTATTCTTATTAAGTAACAGCCTCGACTACATAAGCTGAATCTAAGGTTTATGCATAACAGTTTGCACAAAATTGAACAAAAGCGATGAATTTTTAATAGATGTATGCATACTAGATTTTTGATATATGGCAGAAAACTAAATGGATAAAAATGACTTGGAAAATGAAAAAAACATTGTTATTTTTTCACAAGCCAATTCATCATTATGAACACTCTACCCATTCTGTTTGCATTACATTTACCCCTTCTTAGGCCTGTGTGAGTTAGTACCTGTGCTCCTTCTTGCTGAGGTCCAGGCTGTGCTCCTGGCCAGAGTCCTGAGACCCTCCGAACCCCAACTCCATGGGCTCCTGCTTCACTTGGACCAGATTGTACTGGCCTGACGCTGGATGGCCATTCCCTGAGGAGAGAGACACAACAAAGTTATTGTTGGTCAGCATTATTACGCCTGATGAGATCTAATGTGACTTCTGTCCTGGCCCCAAACGAATCTCCCAGTGATAATTATTGTGAAATTATGTCAGGCCGTCAAGGCTTTTAAACAGTGATTGAGAGGCGGCAGATATGAGGGAAAAAGACTGGGTTTTCTGCAGCACTTGTCACAACTCATTTGGTGGACTGCCTCTTAACTGGTCATTAAGTGAGATGCTAATGCTGAGGGAAAGTGGCAGTCTCAGATTGGATGCCCCCTCCCCCGCCCTTCCTGGGATCCACGTTGGCCTGACAACGGTGCCACTGAGCGTACCCACAAGGAACAGGGCGCCATGTCGGTCAGATTGGAGCTGACAGCCAATCAGATTGGTTCAAATAGCGTGACCTCTCAATCACATTCTTCTCCAAAGAGGTATTCAGAGGACAGAAGATTAAATAAATAAATGCCATGTGGCCGGTGTGCAGAAGAAACGCTGACAGGAAGGTGAATAAAGCCCCACCCCAACCACCCCCAAGGGACTGAAATATTCATTTGTCCTGAGGCTACAGCCCAAGATGGTCCCAGCAAACCCTCTTAAGCCAAAAAACAACAGTGCTGTGATTGGTCTGGTCAAAAATGTGTTGTTTAATAATGAGTGCAGTGCTGAGGGATTGTGACAAGGTTGTGTCCAGAGCATAGTGCGCCCTTGGCCCTGTGGAGCCCCTCTTTTTTCACTCACTCTAGGCAGCACCTCTCACGAGGGGGTGTGAGCAGACCCCACTATAGCATGACCCAGAGACATATCAGGCTGAACACGAGTAGAAAAGCCAGACTTGGGTCTCGTCGGCTAAAAGGGGTGAGATCGAGAAGTGTCAGTTCTCTTTGACAATGGGCTGGGGGCGGGGCCTATATAAACATGATTTGAGGTCAGATAATGCGGGCTCCTTCCCTCCCCACGACTACACCCGAAGAAAAAACAAAATAAACCAGTCACATAAACGCTGCCTTGTCATTCACTATTACATCAACTTTGACCCAATCAGTGGGTAGAATAAAAGACATTTCATGGCCAGGCCAGTTAAGAGCTTCCCTCAACGGCAGCACGTCTTTCTTGCTCTCGTCCATAATTCCTTCTCCTCTTTCCAAACAAGGAGAACAAATTAGTTTGACTCAAAGCAGCTTCTTTCTGGAAATTATCCAGGAATAATGCACCAGCTTGTAATTACTGTGGATAAGATACAGCGCTTGGGAAAGATCATTTGTACTGTGTGTCTAATTAGTAAACCCTTCAGATGTTCCAATCGCGAAGAAAAACACTTAGGGCCAAATTAGAGTGGAACATTAATAACAAAAACTAAAGAAATTACTCAGAAGCCGAAAGCAGAGAAATTAAATGCACAATTGGCCACATTCACAGCAAACTTTCACAACCTCAAATACACTGTGATAAAACCACTAACACGTTTCTCACACTTTTTTTGTTTAGAACACACACAGACCACTTCCTTCACAATTTGGCCTCAAATGTCTGTTCACACACATAATACAACAGCCAAAACCAAAGAAAAAACATCTCTTAGTATATAGATGTGCTACATATGTGTGTGTGTAGAAGTGGGGGAAAGGCGACCATCTGGGACCTTCATCTTTTGACAGTACCTGCAGCAGCCCAGAGGTGGAGCTCAGCCTGACAGCTCCATATTGCAACACCACCAGGAATTCTAATCCCTCCGATTCCCAACATTTGGAATTTCACCTCCTCCCATAAACTCGCGCTGCCCCCATAACCATCCCACCTGCTCAGTTTTCACGCACACTGTAGAACGGTATAGAGGAATAGGGATTTATTTTAGGGATTTCAAAAATAGGTTATCTTCATCTGACACCATTACATTCTTTGGCACCGAAAGTTTCAAATTAAGATCAGAGACAGAATAGATTTTTGCTTAACATTAAATACAAATAAGTCTGTTTATATTCAATTCAATTCAATTCAACTTGAATGCAGACCAATTTAATATTGTTGCAACCTCTAGGAATTATTAAATATTAGCAAAAGCATAGAAAATATACAACAATTATTAGTTGTATATTATGATGTATATCCCATTTGTGAACTGAATTGCATTTCTTTGTGGTTCCAGTTATGTCTAACATCGCAAAGGCTGATGATGCGAAACATTTAGTTTGGAAAAATATGCAAAAGATATAATAATGTGTTTTCTCCGTGCTGTATTTGGCTTGTTTGAAACAATGCGATAAACCCAGACAAGCCAATTACCTCTCAAACGTATGAGAATTATGTTTATGCTAAATAGTTGTTGACATGTTTTGAGGAAACACAAGCTTTCTAGAAATCCAACTTTGCAGATGCACGGGAGCATAGTGCATAGAGCTGTTTCTGGTTGAGTGGTTTATGTTTTTTTATCAGTCTCACAAAGAGGATATGGGGGAAAAATATTTTGTTCTCACAATTTTCTGAACTTAATTTCATTCCACCTCCATTTGGCTGGAACGGCGCAGTGCACAGATAAGAGAGCAATGATGAGGAAACATGTTCGACACAGGCCCCAGGAGCCCCCCACTCGGAGCATCAGAGCAGAGTTTTACAGGCTCTACTCTTTCCCTGTCAGCGCATTTATCTCCAAATGGATTGTGGCTATCTAACAAACGATCAACACAATAACAGCCGGCCCTTAGTGAAGGAGAAGCCGTGTCTCCCCTGCCTGGGAGGGTGGTGACGCCTGGCCCAGCACGGAGCACTCGCGGCGGGATCAAGACACCACGAGTGACCCCTGGGTGCACTCTGGAGCTGGAGGACAGTGTGAGCGGAGCCAATCCACAGGAGGCTGTTACTCTACTCTACTGCTACATGCGCCGGCTTAAAGATACTTTGCAAGAATGCAGAAAGAAAAAAATCTCATGAACTGCCTGAAGTTTAGAGTCCAAATATATTCAAGCAAATGCAAAAGAGTAATGTCTTGTTAAATGTATTGATTGATTGACTGAAATACATGTAAACAAACTGGCTAAAATGTGCGACTTCTTAAGCATTTTTGATACATTTAACTATATTTTACTATATCAGAGGAACTTATAAAACCTTGTGGCCCCATATATATATATATAATTTTGTATACACTGTATATATATTTACAAAATTATCATTTTGAGTTAAAAATGACAGTCTATTGCATAAAAACTCCAGATTGGTGTATTAAGTTTTTTAATGTGTTTTTTTATTCAAAGCAAGTTTGAAATTGTAGTATGGAAACAACACTTTTCAGGAGTGATGCTATTTGAACTGTGCAATGTTTTGAGTCTTGCACCCTGAAGTGTCTGGGATTGCCCAAGGCAGTTTGTTTTCTTAAAAATGAACAAAAAAGACACATGAATGACTCAAAAACCAGCCCTGACACACTAACCTGTTTCAGAATTGTTTGGTTTCAGTGCGGCAGCTGCCAGCCGGGCCATCATGGGCGAGATGACACCTTTACTGGCAGAGATCTTCTCCATGATGGAGGCGGTGGAGAAGGAGGTTGGTGTGGAGGCCATGGCTCCATCGGCCCCAGCACTGGAGTAGCATTGGCTCAGAGAGTCAGACGTCATGGACAGAGCTCCAGAGGACACAGCAGATATGAGACTAGCAGCAGAGTGCGGCGGAGGCTGTAGGGGCATCCGGTGCATGAGGGGGAAGAAGGGGTTTGGAGCAGATAAAGCGCTGCTGGAGAGCGCCAGAGCCACGGGCAAGTTACTGGGCAGCGTTTGGGACAGGAGGTTGCTCATCCTCTGCCCTACAGCAGCCACCATGTTGGGGTTGGGTTTCAGGCTGTGGCTGGAGGGCGAGGAGGACACAGAGGTGGTGGGCGTGGCCATCAGGTGAGAGGCTGTAGTGCACTGTGTGGTGGGAGAGGCGCTCAGACTGGAGTTCTTACTACTGATAGTACAGAAGTCTACCAGATCATCATTACTGGACTCTTCTGGCTCATCTTTGTTAGCCATGAAGGAGGAGCTGGACAGTCCCAGGACGCCCGAGGAGCGAATGTGGCGGCGCTCGTGTTTGCGTTTGTGGGACGTCATTTGGCTGGTGGAGGTGAAGGTGAAGCCACAGCCCGAGCGGATACAGTGGAAGTGGTTGGTGGCCTTGCTGTAAACGCAGCCCTCGTACTTGCACTCCTCATATTTATAGAACTTCTTGAAGCCATCTTTGGCGTAAGCGTCATCTTTTATGTGATAACTCTTGTGCTTCTCAATGTCACACTTGTTCTTGAAGGTAAAGGTGCAGCCTGGACGCCTGGAATGAACAAAAAGAATCATAAACAATGCTGTGATTTGGTGCAGTGAGGAGGAATGGGCCGGACTTTGTAATCTATTAGGATTAGGCAGAATTATAACAGAGGCAGCAGTAGTGGCCCACATATTGCCACCTGTATCCACTGCCAGAGGGTTCCAACGAGTTTAATGAATCACACCAAACAAGTGCCACTGATGAAGATTTACTGGGGAAATATTGCAATATTTTAGGAGCTATTTGGAAGTAGAATTTTGATTATTTTACAAATGCAGAGATTTATTAAAGCTGGGGTTCTAACTACCCTTTTTTGTTTCATAGATAATCCATATTTTTATTTGGTGACACTTCATTAGTGTCACAAAATTAGATTACAACATTTTATTTTCATCTTATCAGAACATAACATTATTGTTTTATTATTTTTAATTATTATAACCATTTTTTGCATTCTTGTAAGGAATGTTAATTTATGGGCTGGGAGAGTGGGTGGTCCTCTCTTGTTCACTTTTCTGTTTAAAAAAGCTAATAATGTGACAGAGGAGATAAAATGCATGTGAAAACTGCTGATAGAACCAGACTGAAAAATTGAGATTTTAATACAGACTTAACTATTTTGTGGTTTTAAAATTAGGTACCCTAGCTGATATGTAGTAGTGGTGACGTTTTGCAAAGTGTGAAATATTATGATTTAATGCAAGCTGTAACTATACAATATTGATTGTGAAATTATACACTATTTCGGAAATGCTGTTTTATGACACTGTATGTCCTGACCTGCAGTGGAAGTGAGTGGTCTTCTGGCCGTAGAACTGGCAACCCACAGTTCCACAATCCTCTGTGGCTCGAAACCTTTGGAAGCCGTCGTTGATGAGCTGCGCGTTCTTCTTGTGGAAGTTCTCGTGGGTCATGACGTCAGAAGTGCTGGTGTACACTTTGCTACAACCCACCTGCAAAAATCAAAGCCAATGAAACCAAGAAATCTGAGCAAGAGATCTGATCTTTAACAGAGCGTTGCTTTGTATGGTAATGAGAACGTTAACATGGCCTACATATGAGCAGTTAGACGGTTTTCACAGTAACTATTGACTATTGACAAGATTATTAACAAGATAGAGAATATCATAAGGCAACCACATACAGCAAGGTAAAGTACCAAGCTTGTCAAACTAGAAAGTCATATTTGGAGTTTGACCTAAACCACAGACTTACAGTAACAGGTTTCAGGGGATGAGTGGGAGGTAGTAAAGTGATATAAATCTACAATGAAGCCTGGGGGAAAAACAGCTAATGTTTGAAATAAAAGAAGAATGTGTATATCTTCCCTGGCATTTTTCCTGCACACAAAAGGGGCAACTTTTCCATATTGAGTCAAACAATGGGAGAAATCCGATTATGTTATTTCTCTCTTTTGATCATAAATCAACAGCGGCAGTGCCAACATCTGCAGGTTCTCAGCACAGTTCAAACAAGCCCTGAAATGTCCTAATAACAATTACGCAGTTAGAAAGGTTTAAAAGGAAAATCTATCTCTGGTCCTCCTCCGCTCTCAGCACAATGACACTTTTGAAAACAAGCAGATGTAAAAAATTAAACAAAAGGAAGAATGATCTTCAACGCGCTGCTTGGTACTAAAAGATGAAAAATGTGAAGTTTATGTAAACAGCTGGGAGAATTTTATCCATGCCAATTAAGGAGCGAGAGAGCGGACTATTTGAACCAAAAGAGACACTCCAATGGGTTTACCATTTTTCAAATTTTCTTGTATTTACTTAAGGCCAGAGGAAAGGTTGAAATGGACAAGGTGTGAAATGTCATTGCTCTGGTCGCTCTGCCACCCAGAAAACTGTTTATAACATGGTGTCGACAACTCAAATTTAGAACTATTTCCATTGCAGTAAAGGGGACTATGCATACAATAAACTCCGGCTTTCTCCTCCTACTGTGTAGAACTGTAGGATGTATATTATGAGTCATTCTTTGAAATAAATCCAATTTGATGTCTGCTGTTGGTGTGTCCTTGGGCAAGACACTTAAGCCCACTTTGCCTGAAGCCCCCGCTGAGAGATCAAGGCTCTGGTGCTCTGTGAATGGGTGACTGCCCCCCCTCCCCGACCCAGAAATTGATTAAGGGGAAGAAAATGGATGGATGTATTATTCCATCCATAAGTGATCTTCTTGCACACAATATCATTATAAGGCCTGCCTGGGGTGAAAAACAGGTCAAGATTGCATCATGTCTTTTTGTTCCACAATATGACATTTTGTATTTGTGCCAAAGAAGATCAACTCATCTGTGAAATGGATGTGCATGCGCCACTTAACATTATATGGCTTTGATCTGGTGCTTCTATGGGTCTGCAATGTATATGTGGTTGGTGCGTGGGCAGTGATGCTGTTACTCTGTATATAGCCCACCTGCATGCAGTGGTAGTGGGTGCTTTTTCCATTCAAGTGGCAGCCGTGGTAGTAGACGCTGCAGTCGTCCAGAGGGCTGAAGCGCATGAAGCCGTGCTGCAGAGAGTTGTCCCTCTTCTTGTGCATGTTGTAGTGGCGGATCACGTCCTGCTTACTGGTGAACCTCTGTAAAACACAACGAAATGGGACGGAAAAGGAAGGAGGGAGAAGGGGTGGGGGCAGGGGCATTAGGGAAAAATATACAGCAACAGGTTGGTGTTTATTTAAATCAGAAACAGAATCAGCAACTTTATCTGTGTGGCAGCTGCAAGACGCAAGAGCCAAGAAAGTGTGAGAGGTCTCTAAATGTGACATGTTATGCTCTTATTGATTTACTTTGCCTTTCTCGCTGAGATGTTATCCCTTCAGCAGTGGGGAACTTTAGAATGCTTTAAATCTCTATACAGTTTTGTTGATATGAATGTATGAACGTTTTTATGAAGCAACAAAGACAAGACATGATGATAAAGTATTTTTTGTGCATTTGTCCTTCCTTAGGTCCTGTATCTATATCAAGTTTTCACATGTTTTTTTATGTTTAGTGAATGTGGCTTCCCTTCAACAGAAATGTGTAGGATATATGTTATACATCAAAAATGTATGATCAAATATCAAATATACACATTCTATCAAAGGATCACGATAAAGTACATGGGAATTATTCAAACTTTTGAGTAATATTGAGGTCATCAAATGTTTGTAACAAGATGCCTTGCTTTCCTATCTCTACTCTCTTTTCATTATCTTCTCGCAAAATATCTTTTTTTTTAATTAAGACGGATCAATTGACATGCAAGATCACAGTGATGTTTGTACTCTGGAAAAAAACCCTGTTCCATGCAGCTGGTTTTGGAGACGTGCTCAGTGGGGAAAACGCAAAACAACAGAAACAAACAAACAAGCCAAGCAAAAAGCCATTCAATCCACTAAGATACGATTCCACTTCTAATGAATGCATTAACACTCGCTTTTGCAGAGAATATTCCCAGGGACTCCTCGGTGTAAAATCTCAGCTAAATTCTCAAAATCCCCCTCTGTCTCACACACACACACACACACACACACACACACACACATATATGCAGGCAAAGTCGCTCTGCGGAGACAACCAAATCTGCTGTAATTGGGCTTAAGCTGATATTACAGAAAGTGTAAGAGGAGATGTGCGAATCAATGAGTCAGTGCTGCCTTCAATCCATATTTATCTCCAGTTGAGAGAAAAACATCAGAAAGCGGCATTCGTAAAAGCGGCTAATTGTGGTACAAAGTAGGGTAATTGCTTTGTGTCATGTGTTCCAGTGGTGCGCAAGGAAAAAAAAGGGCTAGATTGCACTGCTCACTCGCTGCTCTATGGTTTTCAATGCTTATTTTTTGATGGAAAAGATTAGGGTTTCTTACTTAATATGAAGGAATTATGAGAAGTTACAAGTGCATACAAATTGGACCGCCAGCTTTTACATTACTGGTTATTTTATTGGATAAATATCTCTTAGTTTTCAAACAATTATAATATATGGGTTCTTTATCTTGATTTTTTGTGAATCTACACATCTCCTCATCTCAAAATAATAAAATCCATCAAACTCTCAATTGCTTCTATCACTAGTTTTCATTCGGATATATATTTTTTTATATCTTTAGATCTGCTTTTTTTTTTTAGAAAGAAAGCAAAACAGAGAGGACAACCTTCAATCAGCTCTCAGCCTAAAGTGTCAAATAGTGATTCAAAAGGCTCTTTTTACAAATATTGAATGTTTTCTCATGAGACAAAAACAGAATTATGTCATCTACAATATTATCCAACTTTAACATGTATTCACGTGATTCTATTGGATTGGATTAATAGCGCCTTTGACAAGTAGACTTCTCGACTGTTTCATGTGATCTTGTTTTTCTTGATAAAAAAAAAAAAAACTCAAACTTGTGCAGTGATAAATCCCTCCGGTTCAAAATGCCAACGATGAAGTTGTAATCTGCGCTGTTCCCTTCACCTGTCAGTGGTTGTAATGTTTTGCCTGATTGCTGCCGTACATTTGATCTATTAGGCGTTCCAAAATAGGCCCAGAGCTGACTGGGAAAAAGATCTCATTTTCAGTGGAGTGGTGATGAAGGTTGGGAGCCACTTGCTACATTTATTTTGGGATTCCCACCAGAGTGACGATGAACACGGCCCATACTCGCTGCTGTACGAGCCCATGAAAGGAGAATGTCAGTTCTGAGCCAACGGAGCGATCTGGCACTGGGGTAATATTCCAACTCTGTGTGTCATGCCATGTTTCATGAGTTATTGCTTCCAAGGACCTGATCGTCTCTGCCCCAAATACAGAGAGGGGAAAAAAATTGGCTTTTACGCCACACTATGTATAACTTTATTGGTGGAGGCTCATCTCTAGAAACTTCTCAATGGAGACACGCAAGGGATGCTCCTTGGCCCTATCACAGTTTACATTTGTGGAGCCTGCACATGTATCAATGATTTATCAGAATTGCTCCTGAATCCCTGACATTTTCTATGCAGTGACTTGGTTTAATTTTATTTTTGGATTATTTCTCTATCTGCAATTTCTTTGCTTCACATAAAATGTATGAAAAACGCCTAAAGGATAAAAGCTTTAACTTACATAGTATAGTATAGACATAACAGTTGTATTTACGAGATATGAGTTGTGTATTTCCAATCTTTCAATGAGAAAAGAGTAATATTGCTTTCTAGCAATATGACTGTGCTGTGTGCACTTTTTGTAATAGTTTTTCTTTATAACTTTTAATCTCTGAATCGACTTGTGTAGTGATTTGACTTCTATCTAAGTACCATTTTATTGTCATAACCTTAATTCTACGGGAGCGCTTCCTTCAGCTTGTTTTTCATATGTCTGTCTCCTAATGCATATCTGTGCCTCCTCTCAGCTGAGAAATGCAGCCTGACCGTGGAAATCGCTGTGGAAACCTGAACTAACGCTCTAAATAATGACACGAAATTATTTTCCTTTGTATTCCTCCAAGAACGTGTCTCCTCATCAGACTGTGAAGTGAGCCGCGATCAGTAATGCTTTGGGCACATAAACAATATTTATCGAGCACTAATCTTTCACTGATCGGGAGCAGACAGTGGAGATTACATCTGAAGACGGCTTCATTCAGAAAACTGCGGAGAAAAAGGGAAGGAAAACATGCGGGGACGGAGCATGGATTTTTGTAGTCTTTGAATAAATCTATCGGTGTTTGACTAACTCTCTCGAGCCATATGCTTGGGCAAACAGAGCATTCTCATCTGCTTTGTGCTGCTTACATATACATGACGATCCCTGGCACAGGGACAAGATTAATAATGTGAGAGGGGATTAAAAGCACCGGCAGATGTCTTCAGATATAGATGAGAATGTCTCGTATTTACAATTAACCCTTTCTAATGATGGGCCAACTGTCACACCGAGTTGTTCCAGTGAGTGAGACCTGCCCTCAGCTTACTCAGCACACAAAAGGCAAACAAACTTCAGGTCGCAGTGAAACGGCGAGATGACACACTCCTGTTTTTGTATATACTGTAGAGATGAACACATACTTTTGCGTTCTGTCCTCAGCTCAACCTAAAGTCACCAGCACCTTATGTGCTGTAGGCTAATGCCAAACAAAAAAAACGGATCATTCACAGCCTCCCTTTCTTTCACCTGTCCTAACAAAGAAAGAAAACTCCAGAAGTGTAAAAAATGCTACCCAGAAGTAGTTTTTTCTCACGCTTGCCTGTTGTGCCTAGAGTGTAGAGTGTATAAGGGAGAAGGACAAAAACAGGATTTTTGAAGTAATGAGCGTCTAAAGAATAAATTCAAACATGCATGACTTTGAGTGTGTAAATGAAGAAACAATTGAGAAGAAGAGAAAAGTTTTAAAGTTCAAAAATATCATAACGGCTAAAAACCACACTTGGTTTGTTAGGTTTATTTATTTATTCGTTAATCTTAATATGTGTGCGCCTGTTTTTATGCAGGATCGTGCAAAAACTACTGGTCAGAAAGGACAGAAATTATGTACATTTTCTGTAGAAAATTTCAAGATGATCTGTGTTGTTGGCGGGGTATGTGCTCTCCGAGTGCACGTTGTAGTTGAAAATGTGTATTTGGGCAGTGTTCAAAAAGGATGAGGTACTCACGCTCACCTGGTAGTTACACTCTGGGTCCATGCAGTGGTAGTGCTCCCTGTACTGATACGCACAGTGCACATGGCCACAATGCTGACTCCCGGAAAACCTGCAAAACACCACCAAAACATGACCAAAACTCACATAAATATCAGTACAAACCTGTTTTAAGAGGTATATTTCAAATCCATTGTTGAACGTTCACCTTCACAGTTCCCCTCGTCACCCTATCAGACCGACTCCTGCTTTCCACACTGCCGCCACAATTTGCCCGTCTGTCACACCAATTCCACTCAAATTAGCTCCATTTACTTCCAAAGAGACACTTATTACTGTGAAACCTTTTCCCTCCACGCACTCAAAGAGGGACCTTGTATTTCTTTTACCATGCCGTGAAAAACCTTGTTAAATGATGGCAGGTTAACCACAGAAAGACATCAGATAGCTCCAATTCATTCCACTATATCTCTACATTTCAGTCGGTTTCTAGTAAAAAAAAAAAAAAATAATAAATCTTCATTGCTTTTTGCTACAGTACAGCACTTTTATAGCCTGGATAATAAGCCTGATGATGATGACTCTTAAAATCCTCCAATTACGAGCAAAAACACACAAATAAACATTTGCTCTTCCGCTGCCAAGAGCTCCGTCTGCAGTGGAAAAGAGGGGGAGCGAGGAGGGGGCAACCATGCTTTTTTTCCTGTCTGTTTTTGCCTTGTTCGGATTATCTCACAACAGTGTTTTTAGATGTCTTTGCCAATGCCTTTATATCATACTTGTAGAGAAAAGGAGTTTAAGCATATTTTGCTTTCGTAATGACAGTGTTAAATGTACACCAGAAGGCTATTTTGCATATGTTGTGACGGGGAGAAAAATGATCAAAGTAAAACTAAAATTGATTAAACAGGAAAAGGTCCAACCTATCAAAATAGGTATAATGGAAGTAAAGTACATGAATAATTCTGTATAGAAAAAGTAAAACATTGATTGAAATGTATTGATAAAATGTGGAAAAATGCACCGAATTGTGAAGCGCTTCGTAATCCATATCCGTGAAGACTACTTAATTAAACTAACTAGATAAGTAGTAAGTTTAAAAAAACAAACTTTAATTCCAATGTGCGGACAAATGTATATGGCTCATGAATTTACATATAGCGCAATCAAAAAACAAAATATATCGCACCCAAATAACCAAATATACCTAAAGTTTACTGGTGCAGTTTTTACTCTTATGTCTAATATTGAAACAAAAAAGTCGCCCCACCTGTTTTATTCAATACTATTTAACCTACATCCCAAATACACTTATGCACACAAAAGGCCCGAGTCCCCAGAGAGCGGGGCCCCTCCCTCGCTGCTCATTGCCCAGCTGTATCACTTTGCCTCTGGACAATTCCCTCTTGCCGCATCAGGGGGCCTAATGGGCACGCCACTATTCAGCAGCAGATTAAATATTAATATAGCCTCCACGACACACAGAGATTGCAGCGCATCTCTGGTTACAATACGGATACATGGATCAAAGCGCGCCGCTGATGGTGTGCGCATGAAAGCATTTAAAAGTATGACACAGGCAGCAGTGGATTTCTTTATACCGTCAAACTCTCGCAGTAGACGAAGCCGCGTTTTTGGAGGCTTGTTTTGCAATATTACCCATTAGGCCGACAATCCCTTTGCAACATTTGCCCTTTTAATAAACCCTCCTATCCCATTTTTGCAACCCTCCTCTTCGCTCTTTTTCCTCAACCTCAACACGGAAATTGAAAGTGTATCTGGGCTTATCTGCAGCCTCCCTGTGCATCAACCACCGAGATGTTTAGACAAATTTTATGCATTATGCAGCGCAAATATCAAAACAGTTCTTGGCACTGCCAGCAGAAGCCTCATTAAAAATTCCTTAATTAAATCTTCTTGCAAAATGTAATCAGTCCAAGGAAGGCTGGTGCGTGTGTGTGAGGAGAGCGGAGAGGATGTGCGTGTGTGTCTGTCAGTGCCAGCGCTTTGATTTGTGCCCTTCATGTTATGGCTTGGAGAAGTAATCATTAACGCCACTTTTCAAATGCGCTTTTTCTTTCCTTTTTAGAAACTGAATAAACAAACAAGTGATAATCACCTTTATAGAGAATGAATTGAGAATGGACGGCATTGTTCTCAGGCCACTCAAAGGCACGGATTGCTATTGCTGTGAATGAGGTCCTTTTAGATCAGTTGGTTTCCTTTTAAAGTGGATATAGCCACAGTTCATATCCTTGGTTTTTCAGTCGCTGCTAATGTTACAGAATAATGTTCGCTTTGGCCGTTACAGTAAGTTCCCATTAAGAAATTTCTCTTTCATTACATCCCACTTCAGCATAGCACATAAATTTGACTATTTCTTAATTAATTTACTGTGCGCTCAACATTCTCATATATGTCGAGTCAAATGAGTGAACAAAGCACACCATTCCAGGGGCAGGGAAAGTGGCTGTCTGTGTTTTGGACATTATTTTTTTTTTACAGCAGCGAGAGGCTCGATGAGGGATTTGCATACCTGGCTATATATTTCTGGTAGACGTTGACATCTTCGCCAGTAGGTTTATCTGGTGGCAGGCCATTTCTAATGCAACAGCAAACACAAAAGAGACAGGATTAATGGTGAGGTGGGCCTGCCTGTTGTTAATAAAAACAAACTGACACAATATTTACTTACAGCCGCTCCCAAACTTTGCACTATCAATATGCATTTTCTTGTGGCATAACAGCATTTTCATGTGGCTTATGAATCAGGGGTGGAAGCCGTGCACTTTGATGCATGGGCTCCCGACCAATGAAAGGCAAAATGCTGGAGCAAAGGGACATTAATCTTTTATGGGGGTATTTTGGTGAGTGCTTGTATGCAAAATGGCATAATGGGGATGGGAAGAAAAGCTCTGAAAAGGTCTTTTCTGATCATTCCCAGGGGCCTTGGCTCTAATACTGTCAAGTTGTCTCTAATCAGTCTCTAACAAAAAAGAGAGGAAAGACTTCAGCCAAAAGAGGTTGAGCCCAGCTGTTAAATAGAAAGTTTATATAGCTAAAATTAATCTTAACAAGGTAAAAAGACAAGAGCTTCTCATTTCTCCTTGTGTATATGATAAGTGTGATTACACAGTATTGCTCTTGCTTGGCTCTCAGCAGTGGCATTTAGCTCAGTGAGAGCCGCTCCACACGGGGGATGACCCAAGGTTAATCTGGCCCTGAGGGGAGGCAGGCTGCCAGACTCTCCTCACAGCCCATGTCAGTGTTAGCCAAGCAGCACCCGCCAACCTGGCACAGCCACAGCTGCCCGAGTCTAACAGGGACACGATGACTGAGACGACACTGAAGAACCTTGTCCACCGAGTCCCGTTCCCTAATCTCTTCACTAGTTTCAGAACACGGCCCCCGGCGGCTGGTGCCAGGTTAGTCATGGCTCCAAAGTAATTAAGGGGAGAGTTGTTACACCCCAGTCAAACCAAGAAGTCAGTCACTTTGCGATGACTGTGCTAAATCAGTCTCCATGGAGTACTACAGCGAGTAAACACTTCATGTGCTTTCGCAACTCATCATGTTGTGGATCTATTGGGCGCTATGCGCTATTTCACACTACATTCCTGTTGGCTGCGGTGCAGATAGCAATTACCTGTGTGTTAGTCTAACAGAGTCACAGGAGCAGTTAAGTGGATGCAGGCTGTACATTAGTGTCTCTGAGAGACTATAAGTGTGAAGGACACAGTCTAGCCCGTGATTGATCATTGAAGATTTGAAATAAAAATAATAAAAAATGTGTGTCTTACTTGACAGAAGACACAGTTCCAGAGGTGATGGAGTCAGTCTTGGAGAAGCTGGACTTGAGGTACTCAGCAGTGCTGAAGCTGAGGTGTCCGGTCTGGTCCATGGTGAGACCCGGGGCGATGGCACCAGCAGCCCCTGCAGTGGGGACCCCTGGAGTTCCTGGATTCCCTGGGACGGAGGCCAGGACATTGGGCATGAGCGAGGCCTCTGGGTTTCCGGGCATCATTTTCTGTATTGTTCTAACGTCGTATTTGGAGGGTCGCCCCCCTTTGACAGTCTTAAAGGCGATGGACCCACCCATGTCAGGGTTTCCATCAGGTTTGAACAGTTGCAGGTATTTGACGTTCTCCAGATCATACTTAGAGGGACGTTTGTAAGCGTTACCGTTCTGTGGCTGCAGACTCTCACCCCTCTTCAGCTTCTGAATAAAGAAGTCATATTTGGAGGATCGTGATGCCATGTTGGACATGTGCAGAGAGGAGGGGGGCTGTGTGGCTGCTGCCTGGGGTCCTCCACGGGACTTGTGGTCCAGACTGGAGGGGAAGATCTGCGCCTCTGCTCCTGGCAAGCTGGAGCTCTGCAGCAAGCCGCTCTTGTCTGGGGCCATCTTTGCATTGAGGTCATCTGGTTTGGGAGGGGAAGCATGCAGGGGCCAGGGCAGGGTTTCTCCGGCTTTCAGCTTGCGGATGTACTCTTCATACTTGGAGAAGCGAGCGCGGCGGGAGGCTTCCTCGCTGTTGAGGGACGAGGGGTCTGAGGTAGACGCTTTGAGCTTCTCAAAGCTGATTTTCTTGGTCAGCTCATCCCTTACTTGTTGGTCATCATAACCAAACATAGCTGCATAGTCTTGCAGGACCGAGCTCTCTCCTAGACAAAAAGAAAATACAGTCATTAGGATCACTACAAATTCATCTGATTTCAAATCCTCCCATTAAGCAATGTCCCTTACACATTGAATGATACAATTGATCAAAATAATTATAGACAACACTTTCCTTGACTGATCGGTTTTATGAATCACTTTGTTTTGTCACATTGACTGATGTCTGATCAACAAATGTCACACCGCTTAGTCTCTGTTTGTCATTTAAAGTTACAGATGAACTCATTAGGCATACAGAGTTTAATTTGATAAACAGCAACGGGCTTGTGGAATAAAACAAGCCCAAATATGCTCAAATCATCTAATTTGAAACGAGCAAGGCAACAAACTGGCTCAATCTGCAAAGCCTAAAAATCTATAGGAAGCTTTATAATAGAAAAGTCCACACTGGGACAACTTCCTCAAGGACACAGCAGGAGTGTGGTCGTCAACGTATAGCTTAATTGCATTATGTTGAGATTAATTCTGGCCCATTAAGTCACAGGTTATTGCAAAGCTCCAGTGAGTGAAGGGGAAAAGACATACAGTAGTAATTGTTGGTTGAGTTGGTGTCTGAGGTACGCATAATAGTATACTATAGTCATTCAAAAATGAGCCATATCTATTTAAATTGTGCAGGTCTGTAGTGTCACGTTAAACCCTACATATTTATTGCTTTCCTCACAAGCAGAGTACGCATCATCAGCCCAGAGGTAAAGCCACCTACCACCAGCGTAATTAATACACAAATATTTCTGCTCTTGTCTCAAATTTCTTGCTAAATCAGTCTCTCTGGCCCTGGCTTTTCACATCTCCAGTGCAGCGTGTAAAATAATCCCCAAATTTCCACTGGCCGTGTTGTGGAGGGTGGCTCCCGTGAGCGACAGATCAGTATGAAAGATGAGAAGCTGGATCGAAAGGGCATGAAAAATGTAGGAGAAGTGGATGAGGGATTTGAGAGGAAATACGGCCATGTTTGCAGCCGATCGCTTGAGCAAATCTACGATGTTTTCACATGTACCCTAACCACAGGCTGACACACCGCCGCTGGCCTCAGTCCTGAGTGAGGGATCCAGTTCGCTTCACACCACTGTATTTTTCATTCTTCACACTTGGAGGTTGATGAAATACTATATTTCTCCCTCTCTTTATTTGTTGTTTTGGTGTATTTTTTCTCCTTCTACATTTGCCACTTAAAAAATATGAACGGATGATTTATTGTATTTGAATGAAATATTTATATAACAGACTGACTGCAGCAAAATGTATTATATTACTTTAACAATTGGTCCTTCCACTAATGCTACAAGTAAAGTAATTCTCATAAAAGGTTCTGAATTGGGCTGTTTTTGTTTAATTTTGTCAAATACAAATGTGGTTGTTTGTAAAAGTTCATGTTTGGATCTTAAAAACTTCAGTAAAAAAAATGTCTAAATGAAACTGGATCTGTTTCATAGGGGATACACCTTTCACCAAATGTCTTGATGAATTTGCTACTGTGCTGCATATGTTGCTGTGTTCGGTCCAGGAGTATCATATACTGTCGCTCTAAAGTTAAGATCCATCCACATCGAAACTACTTTCAGTACGTACAATCCAATAGAGAAAAATGTCTAGGAAACGGCGTCATTATCTATATTACAAAGACAAGTATGTATTCTTTGGGATTACTGCTTCTCTAAGATAAGTACATGAATAAAGTGGAATTTATCTTGATTTGAGAACTCTTTTAAATTTGGCATAGAAAAAGCAAGTGAAGCGCTATTTCATGCGCTCTATGAGATAATGCTTGTTTTGTTCATATTTCTAAGGTGGGACAACCACTTTTTCTTTTCATAATACTATATTTTGTTTCTTGTATTTTACTACTTCATGTTGTCAGTAGCTCAGTTGGTAGAGCATTGGCCTTTGGGCCTGAAGGTCGTGGGTTCGAGCCCACCGTAAGACCTACTTCACGACTCCCACTGATGACTGCTGTTGTTGTGTCCTTGGGCAAGACACTTAACCCTACTTTGCCCAAAGCCCCAACTGAAAGATCTCAGCTCCTGTGGACTCACCACCTGCAGGAGGATCAGTGAGGGGCTGGTGCTCTGTGTACTGGGTGCAGCTCTGACTGCCACCCCCCCGACCCAGAAATGGATTAAGGGGAAGAAAATGGATGGATGGATGTTGTCTTCATCTGATTAGAGAACAGGTTATCATTTCCCTTTTATTAGTGAGAAAGAGCCCTGTGAGTCACTGTTTGACGCTTTGGCCTGAATAAGGGTGGTCCTAAGACAGAGGCCAAAAATACATGCATGTAAAAACTAGTGCTAGAACTAAACTCTTCAGAGAACTGAGTTAATGTTTTTGTGTTTTGAAAGCTTTGAAATCATTAAATCTAATAGCCATTATTGGAATTGGTTCTAATCGCCATGTTCAGTCTCATACATTGGAACACCGTGAAGTATAATGTAGAGACCGTATAAGTATTGAATTCATCTTTAGTTCAATGGCTCTGTAATTGTATGCAACCCTAGATTATTCCTGATGTCGAGAGCAAAGTGGCCATTTTGACACAAAAGACTCGGGTTTCTTTCATGCAAGAACAGATATAACTGTTCATATTCTATTTGCTGTTGTAATTTTATCGTGCTCTCCTCAAAATGAGCTGGAGTCTCATCAGTGTCATGCTATCACTGAAAGCCCCATGATTGGATGTGAAAGGATTATGACTGAGGCGACCACAGATAACCTTTACAAAACACTGTGTAAATGAGGTTTGCACTCAGCCCTTATCGCCGGCTGGTTAATAATGTCATGTGACTCTAGGTGGTGGCCCAGGAGAACTGTTTTGAATTAAAACTAAATATTTCTCAAAGCTGTCATATGTCTCAATCTCTTTTTACTACAATAAGAACACAGATATAGTGGATTTTAAACATGAAGGTGATGCATACTATGGAAATGGTTCCAATTATAATACAATACTGTATATTTGTAAAGATGCTTTGGGCTAAGTGAGGCTAATTATGTGACAAAGGCCAAAAATACATGAATGTGACAACTAGTGATTGTGACATTGTGGTTCAAAAGTAAGGTACCCCAGCTTTAATGCAGAATCTCATTTCATGTCTTTTGTTTTGTGAGTAAAACAAGACCTTTTCTGCTTCTTCCATTAGTTAACCATAATTCAACAGAGCCAAAGTAAAAACCGAACCAAGATAAAGACTTCATAATTACTAACTTTGAATCATTTGCACTTTCTCCATCATACACTTCGCTTCACTTTGGCTTCCTCAGTTTCAGTCCTTACAAATCTGCACAGAAGTGGTTCCATATCTCAACACCTCGCGATGCTGAAGTTTGCACACTAAACAGAGCGTCCTTGTCTGCATTTGAGGCAATTAGAGTACATTTCTGAGCTGGACGCCGATAACCGGTGGCTGGAAACGTGTGGCGCTGACCAAACATGGCGGTCGGTGTGACAGGCTCCGCTGAGAGGCAGAGGTGTGACTGAGATAAGGGCCATGCGGGGGCTATATATGGACTCATCTGCAGCCACCATGGATTGTAGGGTGACACTTTCAAGCACAATGCTATGGGAAACTTGATTTAGCCATTGTGGAGATTTCATGGCATTCCTCTTAAAACTGGGACACCAAATAAAAAAATAAAAAAATAAATATAGATAAAATGTTGTGAACTAAACGGACCAGGACAACATTATGTTTTTATCTTAAATGCTGATTGGCTTAGCAGGAGTTGACCTTTCTTTTATTTTCTGCCAAAAAAGATGTGACAAAGGCCAGAAAATACATGCATGTGAAAACTAGTGACAGAACCAATAGCTTAGAGCAACTTCGGTCAATTTCATTAAACCAAATTTTTTTGTGCTTCGAAAGTTGCATACCCAAGCTTTAATTGTAAAAAAAAAAAAAAACTACAAATAGTCTTTTTTTTGCAAGCCAGTTCAAAAGAGAAAGAATCTGTCTAGAAAAAAAGGTTAATTTTTCATATTTGGCCAAAAATGTATGGAAAACAAAATCTTTCGCACTGGAGTTAGCTTCGCTGTTAGGGTTATGTCTTCATTCCGCGCTAATTTAAAGACTTTTTAAAAAGTCATTTGCATTTATGTGAGCAAATGAGTATAAGTGTGTTTGTTTAAATGGCCGCTGGTATCCTAATAGAGCTGCTTTGAATAAATGACATGATGTGCACGGGTTGGGCCTAATTTGACACACACTAAAGTGCACATTGCTGCCGTCGCTTCAAACTTCCACCCTGTTTGCTTAGTTAATTAACAGCCAGTAAATAGGGGGGCTTTGAAAACGGCTCCAAATGAACAATAACCTTTCCGTATGAACCCCGAATCGCAAATGGAAGTTGTGGTCAAGTCCGTTTGATCCAGCACAATCTCAATTCTGTTGGTTTTTTAATTCGTTGTTTTTCATTCCAATGACTAATGCGCCATCTAATTTATCTAGGAACAGTTTTCCAGGGTTGGGGTGTGATAGGGGAATCCGCACGCCGCCGCAGCCGCGTGAGGAGTTAAATGTTTTGAAGGTCGCACTTTCTCTCATTGATCTTGCAATGTTTGTTAATTACATTGTCACTGATGTTGTGCGAGATAATTAAGCCACTATGTTTATATGCATAATTGTGTGCACTCCGCATCAGCCTTTGAAAGACAGCGGCGAGAAGAGGAGAGGGAGAAAAAAAATGTTTTAATTGTGCGTCAAGGCAAAACACGGCAATATAGATGCCCTAGTTACAATCAACAAAGAAAAGAAAGCTTGCGCTAGTCTTTAAACATTCACGCTAGTAGAGTAAGTAGAAAAAAAGAGACGGAAGATAATGCATATTTAGTGCTCATAAAATAAACACAAAATGACTAATTAAAACCACAAAGACTGCTGCTTCGGAAACCTGTTTTCTCAGAAGCCCCTGCTCTCAATTGGTATCTGTGTGTGGCCAAAAGTATACTAGAAATCAAAAAGATAAGCTGTCACAAAAGGGTTGTACGTGTCTGCAGATGAAAGATTGAGAAGAGAGGTGAAAAACAAAAGTTGTCGTTTGTACCGCAACAACCGGTTTCACCTGCAGAATGCTCTCTGCTTCTGCCTGTCTCTTTATGTTTCATTATTGAGCGTGTTTTTATGGCTTTTAGAATTCATTTTTAACAAAGGGTGCCTTGCATGCGGCAGAGAAAGCGATTCAAGGTCAAAGAAGTGTAGAAATGCACAAAAAGATGGTGCTGTAAATATATTCTGCTTAGAAAGAAATCTTATCAGTCTGATAATGGGAAATTATATCAGTGGGAATGTCATTGCATGATTTAATATGGGGTTATCGTGAGCATGAGTAAAATTTTAAAATAATTTCATAAAACATAGTTGAAAGTGCAGAGATAAGAGTATTTATTGAGATGGCAAAGTTCAAAACTATACTACTTTGATTACTTTTGTAAGCAGAATTGAGGAGGCAGAAATGCATGAGAGTGAGAATATATTGTGGTTGGAGCAGTTTTTTTATGCAATGGTAGTTGGCATTATAATACAGAAGTATTTTGCGGTGTACTTTTTGATGCAAATTCTCTACACAACAGAAAATAAATAGAACTCGTACTATTCTATTCACTGCACATATTCACTGTTCAAGTTAATACGCTAAAAGGTGCTTTCCAGAAACTCCTCAGTTGTGCTTTATACCAGAGGAGCTTGGAGCAGTGGTTAACTTTTGTGAGCTTAGAGGAAAATCAAAGACGCAGTATGTAATCCGTGTGTAATATGAAGCTTAGCGTGGACCAGCCATGCGCTCTGGCCCTCAGCTGCTGCCAGAGCACAGACAGAGGCATGTTGTATGTCTACTCCATTTATGCATTTGTTCATACGCACACACACAGGTTCCCCAGTCCCCCTGAGTCTGTGCCTGGCTATTCATAATGGAGCAGCAGGGAGGCTCTTTCCAATAATAGGCTCACTTAAGTATATGTCACCTGCTCTCCAGAGTCCAGTCAGTGCGGGGCTATTGAGTACAACACTGGAACTGGACCCATTACATGTTTTAACATTTTTTACATGCTGGTTGGTGGTGATTTGTCTGCACAAAACCACAGCCAACAGGGGCATTTTTCTGAAAGGTAGCATTTCAGTGAGCTTCGAGAAATGTCACAGCACAGTTTATGCTGGGGATTCTGTTACTGAGGAAGCAACCAAATCCATGGGAGAATAGTGAGAGTGATACTGATACTGATCTAAATTCATCTTTAAAGGACTTTAAATAATTAATAATATAATTGTATTTATTGTTTAGTGAGCTTTTTTTTCTTTTCAATGAGCACTGTGTTGGATGTGGACTCAAACAGGTGATAATTACCTGAGGCGGAGAACGGAGGCCGGCTCTGGGCCTCACTCTGCATGTAGGGGGGGTCTTTGGGGGGCTTCTCCTCTGTGTCTTTGTTGTTATGCAAAGTGTTTTCCTGAGAGCAGGGGAGCGCCTCTGCCTCCTCTGCGATGTCCTCATCATCGCTGCAGCCTTTGGGCTGTACCATGTAAACGCCCTCTGGAGGGCAGTCCTCATCATTGCTGACTCTTAAAGAGCTCTCCTCGTCGTCACAGTCGCCCAGTGGCTCCTCCCCGTACTCTCCGTTCACCCACTTCTCTATGGCCTCGCGCCGCTTCTGGTCCTCCTCCAGACTCTGGCTTAGGCTCAGACTCTCAGGGAAGTTGGTCTCATTATCGTCATAGTGTGAACTGCCTCTCTCACTGTTCTCTGCTATGCTCTGGTCTCCCTCTGCATTCTGGGAACTACCGTCGTACACCACCTGGCGGCTCAGCTTGGCACAGATAGCATTGAGTTTTAGGCCACCTTTCCTTTTGGCGGCCATCTTGGGTTTTCCTGAGGTCGGTTCAGTGCATAAACTCCTTTCAGCTGAAACACACAGACAAAGAGGAGAGGGAAATAAGTTACAGTTGAAACACTCATTTAACTATATACTTAACCTGGAAAAGACATGTGCCGTTATCAAAACAATCTAAGCTGCACAATGGGTCTGCAGCTGCAGCTATTATTAACCTAAGAACGCTTCACATCCACCTTGAGACACTGTACGTGTGTCTGTGGTCAGCCCAATGGAAAAAACAGTAGAAAAGCCACAGTGAGTTCAGAGAGATAAGTATCAGACCCCCTACTGCACTACAGCCCTCAGCAGAGCCACATCATCCTTCACACCACTATAGACCTCTGTCAAATGTTCCCTCTCACCTCAAGAGGCTCGACTGCTGCCACTGCACGCTCAAAATGTTATAAGCAACATTCTTTTCTCATATTAAATTATGATGCAACATAGATTTTCCATTGAACACAACATAAAGATGGCAAACAGGTTGGCTCGGAAAGTTTTATGTAGCTATTATAAACCAGCATGACATCTCTTTGATTGAAGATTTAAACCTGTTGTCCTTTCCCAGTAGGTACAATATGAAAAAAAAAATCCTTTACATAAGCGGATATAGAGCAGAGTCCCTAAACATTTTCCCCAGTGCGGCCTCTGTGTGAACAATAGGGCATGCTTTGGGACAGGAATGGGTGGCATTATTTCAACCCAAGTGGGGCTATCTTTATAACATGTCCAGTGATGAGACGCGAGCAGCTGCTTGTGGCATTCCACGTCCAGGCCCTGCCTTTTTAGGGCAGAAAGTGCACTCTGTTACCTTTTACTTTACACCCCCACGCCACCACCAAGGTTGTTCCACACTCAAAACTACAGAGAGATGATTATCATATAGTAAATACCAGCATAAAAGCCAAATAGCAGATAATTATGAGTAATATGGCATTGTGACATTCAAACGTATTAGTTGAGTTATCTTCTATACTTTTGTATATAATGATCTGTGTTCATGGAAAGAAGCAAAGACCATGTTAACACAATAAAAATAGGAAAAATTAGAATAATTAGAAGTTAATACCATAGTGTGAAATGTTGCAGCTAAAGCAAAATTTTCATGGAAATAAGCAGTTGTTAGTATCTACACAAGAAAAGTTACAATGAGCGCCTCCATTCCTGAAATAGGAGTTGGAATGAATTGAAACTGAGTCTTGCTACTTTTAGTGGAAGCCCTTTTTATGGAGGGAAATTTGGAATATCAACAGTAACTAACTTCTGTCTTAAAGACCCAATCCGCTTCCTCCAATAACCAGCCTTCTCCACTTCATTTCTCCCTCTGCCGTAAAGAACCACGCACAATCATATGTGAGACATTACCGGCATTATGTAAATTGCACCGGTGTGACATAAAACTGCATTTTCATTTTCTTTTGCAAAGCTCAAATCATTAGAGATCTATACAATTTGCTAATGGCCCTATATGTGCTACAGTATGACAATGTCCCTGGCCGTACACACATGCTTTCTCAGTTACACTATTTACTCTGCCGGCTTCCTGTATGAAACAATGAATGCAGAAGTTATAGCATTTCAAAGGGGTTGCACATTACTGTACAATTTAGTGTAAGACAATCGCAGGCATGGGGTGAAAGGGTCAGCGCTTAGAAGACGGCAATTTTGGGGAAAGAAAAATCAGCTGGAAAAACTATTAGGAAGTGGAAGACATAAATTTTCGAGATTTTTTTTCTCGTCCACAAGGAAGATTGAGGTCATTTGGGTGTTGCAGAGGAGGTCACTTTTTCTGTTTATGGCTTTCAGTATTTTATGCTTTAACTACCGATTTCCTTTGCATTGAGAACTCGAGCTGCTTGTAGGAAATGACCTCTTCATAGCTGTTTAGGGACTATTTACAGCGCTGAACAAAAGCAAGTTTTAAAGCATACAAGAGGCGAGTATCGATGACCAAAAAGGAATATTCTGCAATGATAAACTGGCTGAATACTGGACTTTGAAAGCAAACATATATCTATGTAATAAAAAACATAACTATTTCCTGGCTCTAAAAAGGTTTGGTTCTATCACTAGTTTTCACATGCATTTATTTACATACATGTATTTTTGGCCTCTGATCTAAAGTTGCGAGAGAATACCAGCCCTCACTCAACCTATCAGCTGTCAATAGATAAAATGTTTTCTTGCAAGATAAAGTCATGTTGTGGTCTGATTTGTTTCTCAGACAAGAGTTTGTTAGTTTTACAATAAGCCACTAATGCAATAGGACTGAAAAAAAAACTGCACTGCTATTTCCACTCTTTCTTGTATTGCCACTTTTTTATTGTACATACAGTAATAATATCCTGCACAGACTATATGTTTTACCTTTAACATTCTGAGTGATTCTATCCATGCCGAATGTGACATTACATTACATTTCTCCAGTGTGAGATCAATAAAGTCTATCTTATCTTACCTTATTATGTATTTATGAACACAAAAATAAGTTAGGTACAAATAAAGTGGTTTAGATTTGACTGTACGTTTCTTCCACTCTTATTAAAGCACCTTCTTTGTAAACTTTTCTTCAATTAACAAGATCTTGACTTATTATCCCTATTGTTAAGGTGCAAGTCTATTCCAACAAATTAAATATTGTTTGCAATCCCTACGGAGATGCACGCCTCAGTGGTTCATGGAAGCTGTCGAAACTATTATTTATGCTAAGGGTTTTCTGTCCACGCGTTTTCCTTTTTACCAATGCTTACAACAGGGATTGCTATGGTAACGCTAAGCTGTTTACCTCAAGTCATTTGTGTGCATGATAGCGTACAATGAGATAAAATCTATTGGGACCTACATGAAAGAACAACTTTCTCCAGAGGGACTGACTTCTTCCACCCCCCTTACCTTCCAAACACCAACCTTTCCGAGAGTCCAGAAAGCAATCTGTGGCTTATTAATGAATATCACACAGAACAACAACTGTCACACGCACCGGACATTATTCACGGCCTGTTTTAGCCTGGTGTGCTAATTGTCAAAGGAAGAGACACCTCAGTAAGCAATGCAAGCGAGGGAAAAAGAAGAAAAAACACAGATTTTGTACACAAGCGCTGAAACTAATGCCTTGCTCCCTGCTTATGTTAGCGGTGACATTCAATTTACTGGAGGCAAAACAGGGCTGCGCTATCCACTGCCATATCATGTCTGTATATGGCCAAAACCTGCAGGGGAGAAGCAAAAAGTAAAGTTTGGACCACAGCAAGGTCTTTTTCATGTTTGCTCCAAAAAAGACAAAGTTATTTTCGGAGGCTGGATCTTGTCAAACAGAGATGACACAAGTTCAATGTCTGGGCCAAAGCAGTATTAGTAATTGCTACTTCAAAAACCATAATAGTAGATATTCAGTTCAGATTTGTTTCTAGTGGTGTGAAGCGCAATTTAAGTCTTGGTTAGGTTGCATATATTTTTGAGTCTTGCGTCTGTCTGTCTTAAGCTTGGGTACCTAACTTATTCTTGTTTCATAAATCATGTAATTAGTCCCAACAGAAATAGTCTTTTTTAAGTAACATTTTGAGAATAAATCAGACCACAACGAGCTGTCTGTCCACGATTAGAAAATATTTGATCTTTTACATTCTGACAGCTCATTGGTTGTGTGAGAGAATGTGTCGAGAGCTTGGAACTAGTTATACATGTTTTCTTTTTACATAATAATTTATATAGTTTCATAGTTGGGCTCTCCAGCTTTAGAATTTTCTGGGGCGACAGTGGCTGAGTTGGTAGAGCTTTAGCTCAAGCCCACCGCGAGACCTTCTCCATCGACTCCACTGTCTGCTGTCGTTGTGTCCTTGGGCAAGACACTTAACTACAGACTAACTAAGACACTTTGTCTATAAGGAGCGCAGAAGTAATGTTTGCAGCATGCCTTGATGTGTATATGTGTATGTGTGTATTCATCAAACTGACATTTTCCCACTGTGGGACGAATAAAGGACCTTCTTCTTCTTCAAACCAAGTACAAGTTATTTTTCTGTTATATTGATATATGTGAAAATATGTATTGTACAGGTTCGAATTAAATAAACTAAATCAATAAATAAGTACTTAATAATAATTAAGTATTGTCCTTTTTAGTTTACCAACAACTACATTTCAGTTTTCATCAGCATAAACATTGTGCCCAATCTACTCCCATGTTAGACCCTAATAACTTTGTTTGGAAGTGCTGTATTTGTAAGACTGCAATCAAAGTCAATAGTCTTAACTTTTTTAATGCATGATTTAAGTTAAAGAGCTGGAGAAAAACTTAAAGACTCCCCGCGGGGTAAGAGATGTCGATATTTAGCAGTTTAAAGCTAATCAAACACAGGTACGGCGTCTTCTAAGATCCCTGCTGAGTTTTCAACATGACTGACACTGGGACAAGCCCCCCGCAATATCTACTCTTAATTAAGCCAAACAGGTCTGTGCGGATTAGTCGACAGTATGTAAACCAGGGTTGGAGAGGCTCTGGTGAAATGTAAAAAGCCTGATAAGAACTTTATGAACCTGGGGCAGATTAATCGGCGACACTACAGCATAGAAAAGACTCTGGAAACAGTGTCACACAAAAGGCACAAAAGGAATGTTTGAGGAATGTGAATTAAAAGTGTTTTAATAAGAGTTGGTGATACAAGCCTCTTCATTTTTGTATAGACTTTTTTTCTGCATAAATATGACATTTTATTTTTGTTCCAACAGAAAGATAAGATATGCTTTATTTATCTCACAAGGAGAAATTTGTGAGATAGAAACAAAGTACAATTTTGCTGTCTTTATCCTATTAGAAAGTGTTTTATATCTTGAATGCTTGAAAGAATCAATCAGATCTCAACCAATCAGAAAAAGTCTGCACTTTTTCACTTTTCTGTCTGTGAAAATCAAAAGATATGACATGCATGTGAAAACTAGAGACCGTAACAGACTTGTTTGACAGAGAAACTATTTTTCATAGATTCTTTTGACATATGTGCATGTTTTGAGGTTGGAAAGTTAGGTACTA